AACACCTCCTGTATCGCTATAGTTTGACTGAACTTCGGTAACAGATCTTCCAGGCTTAACAATCAGAACATCAAACGGCAGTCCATCTGTAGTCACGGAAGTTTCATAAGGATCAACACTGCCTGTCTTGATAGAAGATGTTGACGATGTTGATGACGAGGATGATGTAGAAGAAGTGACTGATGATCGTGCTCCTGGGCTACCTTGATCGATAACTGTCTCTGTGACCTTTTTAACGACTTCAGTTACTGGTCTTCTGTCTACAGTTTTTTCTACAACTGTGTCAACGACGACCGGATTATTATCTACCAAATTAGTTGTCACTGTCCTTCCAAAATTTGTTCCAATTGGTCGGTAATTAATATTTTCCGTTCTTCCTGTAACTCTTTCCATCGTTTCTTTAGGAATAATCATTGGTGGTGGATCGACATTGATGGGGGAGACTGTATCTGTTACAGTTGTTACCGGTCTATAATCAATCATTATCGGTATCCCATCTGTAGATCCTGCAAACAGCGTGTTAGAATTAACACCGCCACTTTCGTAATTGATTGAATCTTTCACATTCGATGTTGATCCGTCACTTTTGTAGTCTATGACTGTAATGTTTGTAACAGAAACAGTTTGTCCCCTGCTAGTTCCCCCAGAATCAGGCAGGAGGTACTTGTTTGACGTAGATGAAGTTTCTGTAGATGAACTTGTGTCAAAGATATTTCTTGTGTCTGTGGAACCCGTACCTATCACACTGACTCTAGCATCATTTGTAGTATCAGCAAAACGTTGGGCATCTATATTCCTTCCACTAACAAATGTTGTATCAACTGTTCTACCGGGTAGTGTGCTACCACCTAGGATTGTTTTACTAGTAGCGCCGCTTTCATGAACATCAGATATTAAAACAGAGTGGGGTTCGACGCCACCAGCAAATGTTTCCCTGATTATTGTTTCTCTTGTGATTAATTGTGGGCCCGAAGATCCTGTTCGCTCTGTAAATGTCACATCTCCAATCCTAGAAGAAGTTGTTTCTCTCATAGTTTTACTCGTTTCAGAAGAGGTAACACCACGAACTTCAGTAACTGTACCAGCATCCGCCACTGAACCTGCATTTGTTGTAACTACCGTTTTAGATTCCGTCACACCGTCTGAAGGTACGAAAACAAAGTCAGTTGCGGTAGAACTACCGGCAGTTTCTCCGCGTGTACCACTCACAGTAACATCTGTAGATTTATCTGTTCGTGAGCTACTTATTGTATTTCCTGTTATAGTCGTTTCCGTGCGTGGACGCTCACCGGTTACAATTGTTTCAGTAATGGTTTCAGTTCGTGGACGTTGACCAGTTACAATTGTTTCAGTTATGGTTTCAGTTCGCACGTCTTTATCCCGGATGGCAGGACGAATTAATGCATTTGAATTTACAGTTTCCCTAACAGTAGTATCAGACCGTCCGGATATGGGGATTTCAATATTTGTTGTTCCTCTATTACCTGAAATATCAACTTTGGTCGTTCCAGTTTCGATATATTCATTTGTTCGCAAAGTAGATGAAGAACTCCCACTACCACTTGGTACAAACGTGTTTATGTTAACTACAGGATCTGTTTGAATCTCTTTAGTCGTTGTTACGGTTTCGGTAAACATTTGGCCTCTCCCATCTTGAACTTGGACCTCACTAATTATTAATCTTTCTGGGATATCAGGCCTTGCATTCCCATTCAATAAAATGTCAACAGATGAACCCCCAGCATTGGTTGAAGAATGTGATTCACGAAGAATACTGTCTATTTGTCTATTTCCTGAAACCGTTGTTACGGTCGGAATTTCATTGGTGTTTATATTAATGTCCTTAGTTGTTGATATATCAACTGTTTTAGAAGATCTATCAACTGTTGTTGACCCAGAGGTATCAACACTGGTAAAGCCTACGTTGTCTGTGGTCAATGTCCCGGTGTTATCTACGAAACTACCCATGGTGTCCTTCGTTGTAACAAAGGTTCCCCCCGTTGTGTCGTCACCAGATATGATTTTTGTCTCGTTGATTATAGTGATTGTGGTTATTGTTTTAATGACATTACCATTTGGGTTTCTGTATGTTTTTGTAACTTTACTAACACCGCCAGGGGATGTTTCTGTAATTGTAGTGCTTAAACCGCCATCAATAGAAGTTGACATACCACTTCCAGTGTTTGTTTCCGTTCGTGTAGTTTCAATAAATCTATTTCCACCTGAGGTTGACATACCACTACCAGTGTTTGTGTCTGTTCGTATGGTTTCAATAAATCTATTTCCACCTGAGGTTGACATACCACTACCAGTGTTTGTTTCTGTACGTGTAGTTTCAATAAATCTATTTCCACCTGAGGTTGACATACCACTACCAGTGTTTGTGTCTGTTCGTATGGTTTCAATAAATCTATTTCCACCTGAGGTTGACATTCCACTACCAGTGTTTGTGTCTGTTCGCGTGGTTTCAATAAATCTATTTCCACCTGAGGTTGACATTCCACTACCAGTGTTTGTTTCTGTACGTGTAGTTTCAATAAATCTATTTCCACCTGAGGTTGACATACCACTACCAGTGTTTGTTTCTGTACGTGTAGTTTCAATAAATCTATTTCCACCTGAGGTTGACATACCACTACCAGTGTTTGTTTCTGTACGTGTAGTTTCAATAAATCTATTTCCACCTGAGGTTGACATTCCACTACCAGTGTTTGTGTCTGTTCGCGTGGTTTCAATAAATCTATTTCCACCTGAGGTTGTTGTCAAAGTAACACTTCCTCTGTCGACAACTTCATTCACTCTTCTGTCCATTGTGTTATCAACAACATTATTCTCGTTCATTACGTTAATAGTGTTTGAAAAATCGATATAACCCCCATTTACTGCACTAGAACTGACACCCCCATTGTTTAACCCTGTAGTGGATGTCTTTGTGACAGTGGTTTTTGATCCTACAACTCCGCCTGTTCCCAAGGAACCAGCTGCTGTGGACCCTGTTCTTCGTTCTGTTGTTATTAGAGAGTTGTCTATCATTGAACTTCCTCCATTTATATTTACACCACCTCGTACAGTAGCGTCCATCCACCTTGGGTTAACGCCAGGCTTATTAAAGTATGTTGTTTCTTTTACTACTGTTTTGCTTGCCGATCCAGACCCTATGCTACCATCAACATTCAGGTTTGTATTTGTTGTTTTTGTTGCTTTAGTACGACTTCCAATATCTGTAGTTACTCGGTTTACGTCCCATTTACTCGTTTTACCAACACTAAACTTTTCTCTACCACCTCCAGTCCCATCCCACTTTGTCGCTCCTCCCCAATTGGGTGCTCCATTCCAACTCAGTGTACCAAGGTCGGGATTTAATGGCTCTGAAACCCACATTGAGGCTGGGATTCCTGATTGTGTTTCAATGTTTTCTATCCGATTGACACGATTTCGTCCGCTGCCAGCTAAGTAATATGGGTACACTGGGGCCAAAGTAGGCCAAACAGGTTTCATTTCTCTGGGAGGCCATCTTGGGGCAAGTGTTCGTGCCTCTTGCTCTGGAGAGGGTGTAGTATAACCTCTGTAGATATTTACATCACCTTCCCCTGAAATGGTACAGTTCAAAATATTTTTAATATTTATTGAAAGAAGAAAATGCAAAAGAGTAATGTACAAGAAAGTAATACTTCATCCGATTATTTTCCTAAACTATTAGAATGAATTTTAAGTATCTATTTCATATTGTCAATCGACAAATAATATAACTGAAGAACTTATCAAATAAGTCACCTTTCAAGGAAATTATTCTCTCAATTTTTTTCCTGATGTTTGTCGGAGCTTGTCGTCTTCTACGTATGTGTTTGAATGTATTTTCTGCATTTGAGGAAGTCGATCTTTTCTCTGTAAAGTTGTAAAGGAAATTCCTGGATCCATTTTGTTTGGTTAATAAAAAAGTCTAACTAATGGAAAAAAGCTCACTACTATTTTATGGGATAGAGTTGCATTCAATGTAGCGGTGTTCATTTAGATTCTCTTAAACTAGCAGAATATTTTATAAACAGGGAGCTCGTACATTATAAGCCCTTGGAGTGGTATGGCGCAAAACAGCTAACAGAAAGACCTAAAAAATTTTTGTGAAAATGTGGTTCAACGTATAGCAAGGAGGTAAAGAGCTCAAATAGAGTTATTATCCAAAATGTTTAGGACTGGTAGAGACATTAATAAAAAGTTATTTGTTAAAGAGCTACTAAAACCTGAAGCATTAGTTCACCAGTATAAATATAAATCATGTTATGATCTACACTTTTCTGTCCAGTTGTTAAGAACTAGAGTCAGGAAAAATTACAAATCTCATCAGTTCATATTATCCAAAGAATTAAAAGTTAAAGATAAGTATAAGCAATGCGTTATGGATATTTTAAGCGTTAAGTGTCTACAAGATTTGATAGTGACCTACATCTAGATTAATAAAGAGTAACTGTTGTCCATATCCTTTCTTCTGCTTTTCAGTATCCACATTCCGTCTCTCCTCTATCATTGTGTTCTTTTTTCCTCTCGTTCGATAAGGTGACGCTAAAAAAACGCGTTAGGAGTACACGTATCACGCTCTGTGATGTCTTATACACTGTTAAACGCGAATACATGCATTCAAAAACATACTTTGGATACAGATAGGCGCTTATAAATTAGTTATAATAGGGCCTAAATTTCTCGAGTGTTTTTTTTCTAATTCCATAATTGGATACGAAAATTTTAATCATGAACAAATTAACTGGCAGTCTCCATTTGATTAATCAGGTAAGTAAATAAATAATACATTCCTTACCGTTTCAGAAGAAAGTGTCAAAATCTCAGAAAATATAGAAATGTAACTTAGAAAGGGTAATGCGACGTCCATTGCCCCTAGAACTAACTGGATGTTTTAGGAAGAATGCAATTGACAGCAACTGAGAGAATGAGAAAAAGAAGCCTGAGAGAATGAGAGGTGCGATTGGAAACATTAATTGTATACAAACCCTTTTTCTGTTTGTGTATCATTTCAGCATGTAATCTGGCCGTGCCAGTCAACGGGGCCAAAGAATGTTGGACAAGTGCAAGTGTATCTAAAAGTACGAATTAAGTCGTGCCAAAGAATGTCCTGATAATCTTAAACAGTCGATCAAAATATTTTAACTCTTGGTGATAGATTAAATTGATTGACTCCCCAGTGCAGCTTTCCAGTTAAAGAAATTCCATCTGCTTCATATTTAATGTTAAAAAAAGACAATGAAAAAGGAGACTAGAAGTTAGGAATGGAGAAATGACAATTTACCTTTAGAGTTTGATTGAGATGGAACAACTGTCCAGCGACCTCCAGTTCGAGATGATTGGGGCGTGTCCTCCCAAGAAGAGGGGCGTGCCGTTGACGGTACTACCACCCATTGATCATTTGATTGTTTTTGATTGGTAGTTGAAATTGACTGATGGCTCTGTACTTGTGTGCTACCTATGAAAAATTTAGAATACTTAAGTTCCTTCTTCTAAACATATCTTTCTTATGCTATTTTGCTTTTTTTTCCAAAATGGAATTAATTATGTTGCTTTTTACAATTGATTGTAAGCAAAAGCGCAGACAGGTTACTCTTAAAGCCAATCAAATGATCATTTGAGGGAGGACACGATAGTTAAGGAAGTATGAAGTTTGCTAGAGAAGGATAGAATGAAAACAGAATAGAGGATAGAAATACCTTGAGGGGCAATGCCAACAAAGCTTTGGGCATGTTGGGACGTGTGAAGAGCATGACTTGGACTATGTGACATTGCTCCATGACCGATTTCATGACCATGTTCCATCCACCTCGGATGGTCTGCTCTTACAGGGCCCTCATTAATGGGCACTGGTTCCCAGTCATTTTTATGATGAGCAAAATCAATATACGGTTCTGTCATTGTGTGAGCTGATTGATGAGACTCGTGTGAAACAAAATCGACGGTTTTAGTTCGGGAATGACTCTTTTCTTGATTAATATTAGACGCTAGTTTTTCCGTCGGCGACACTTCAAGAGGTCTAACATCTGTCAATAGGTTGATAGTTGGAATCGAGTCTTTTCGTGTTTTTTGTTTTGATGTTTGTGCTGATTTATCAATTTGAATGGATGCAGATATAGTATTCTGTCTGCTTGGTCGTCTGTTTATCTCCAACGTTGATGAAGTGCTTTTAATTTGTGCTACTCTTGCATCAGCTTTTTTCTGATTGGCCAGTTTTTTCAGCGATTCTTCAGCTTTTAGTCGTGAAGCCTGGAAAACGTCCTGAACTTCTTCAGTTACGGGTCCGGTGGTGGATTTGATAGGCGTATTAATAGCTATGTTAATGATTTGATCTCTTCCTCCTGGTTCTACTATTGAAGTTCCTGTTCCTTTTTCTTGTCCTCCGCCCTTTCCTCTCCTGGATATTAGCTGAGATTTTTCGGAAACAGTTTTAGTTGATACTTTTTTCTTTATACCAGGTCTAAGGATAATGTCTTTCATCTCTCTAACTTTTTGATCTTTAATTGTTTTACTTTTCTCTACGGATCGGCTGACTTGCTGGATCTCACTTCTAGAACTTCCAGAAACAGCTTCTTTAAGGGAAGCAAGAAGTTCATTGTAGATTTGCAATTGTTTTGCCTGCATTTCTTCTTGATTGCCTTGAAATATCAAATTAAAAATATTCAGTTTCAAAACTTTTTAGAACGGAACGAGAATAAAATAAGTTGATACCAAATGAAAATAAAAGATACCAACCTGGTGTGCTGTATTCGCTTTCTACCGCAGTCTTTACGAGCTTAGATAAGAGAACTTTAGATGCTTTGGGAATCTGTTGGTCAACATTAGCTGAAACATTACATCCAGGAGATGAATTAAAGACTATGATTCCTGTTTTATTTGACATATATCCAACAAGTTCTAATTTTCTAGAATGGTATACGAAACAAATTTGCTAACACATGTTTTATTAACGCACTTGTACTCGTATTTATTCCATCGAAAATCGTAAAAAAGATTTATTTAAATGCATCTCTTTCAATTACCTGTTGCAGTAATTAAATTCTATTAATGTTAACTTTATATTAGTACCTTAGGTAATTGCAAAATAATTCTCTCTCACCTGGAATATTGAGAACTTCTGGTAATGGAGATGGCATCTCTTCTTTTACGACTTTTGTTTTCTGTTCTTTTGATTGTACTCTTTTTCTTGGTCTTGGAGGTTTTCGCCTTCTGCTCTCAGACCTACTGCTGCCACTTGGATGAGTTAAGGAAAAGTCTAGTCTATTGCGCTGGCTTCTATTTATGATTTCTCGTGTTGGGGTTGGAATTACTTTTCTCGTTTCTATCCTTTTTTCTGCTTCCTGTACAGGAGGAATTTCTATCCTTATTTTTGAAATTGGTTCGCGGGACTTGATACTAGCGTCACTGAATTTTTCTGTCGGAGGACTAGGATCAGCTGACTGGGTCTTTGTAGTCGTAACAGCTTCTTTTATGGCTGTGTTCACTTTTGTTTGCTGTTTGTTTATAACCTTACGCTGCGTCTGTACATTTATATTAGAGGAATCTTGGACTTCAATTCCTTGTTTTACTTCAATATTCTTTACCGTTTGGATAAGAGGTGTCGGCATATTTTCGATTACACTTTTCCTTACATCTGTAGTTACTGCTTTCACCATGCCTTTGTCTTTACTGACATCGATAACGGATGCCTTACTAGATTTTCCATGTATAGCTCTTAAGTTATTTGCACGAGTGGTATCGGCACTATCTGTTGCTATATTGGTTTGTTTATCAGAAACTTCACTGTTCTGAACAGTGACAGGTTGGTTGTCGTTTGGAGATTTATCTCTAGCGTTGCCAATTGGTATCTGAATGGAGTCTCCTATACCTTGCCCCCTTATTGCAATCTTCCGGCGAAAGTTTGCTGGGAGAGTAACACGTGGTGATGGAGTCACTTTTCCTTTCTTCACCACAATTTCATCTCTAGTTGGAGCTGGGGGAAAACTCTGTCTACCCACTGAAGACATTTGGTCACTGGAAGATCTCGAATCTGAAGAAGAAGCTTTTGCGCTAGTTATTATTGATGGAAGAGCTCTGCTTGCGCTATTTAGATCTACATCCGATATCTCTCTATACGATGTGCTTATTTTTGATATACGTGTAGGATTTAAGGTATCTAATTCTCTATAATTAGTCCTTATTGAAATAGACTGAGGTAGCAACTTACGAATTTGATTGGATACTGCATTGTTTGTGTCCATTTTATCCTTGAAACTACTAGAATTCAAATTGCTGGAAGCGCTTTCCACTAAAGGAAAGGAAAGATCAACAGAAGGGCGAGGGCTAATATCTGAACTAGAGAGCGGGGAGACCCCTTTCTTAACAGTGCGGAGGACCACTGTTCTATTCGAGGAGTCTGGACTAGGAACGTTACCCACAAGTTTCCTAGTTACCGTTGTTATGTGGATCTCCGTGACGCCATTTTCTTTCTGTCTCTTTGTTATGGTCTTCGTCACGATATTTTTGCCAGCCCGAAGCAAGTGCATTGGAATTTCTGTGGATTCCCCGGCAAACCTCTCCTGGGTGTTCGAAGAATAAATTGGCGGTGGCATCAGACGAGATAGTTCCTGAAATTTTGTATCATTGGAGGATCTATCATCCAGTGAGGTGGACATCTTCTGACGCTCGTTAGAAAGATTCAAACTTGTATCCATTCTTCTAATTTCAGATGACTTTGTATTCACCCTTACTCCAACTTCGTTGTTTTTAGAATTTTGAATGAGAGAAGGGGATGCCTTTGCGGAGTCAGTGCTGTTTTGCTGTTGATCATGAGCAGTTTGTTTTTCATTTGTTGTGTTCACCATATAACTTGCTGGAAGATGTTTTTGCCATATTTGTGAACATTATCTTTTTGTGTAATTTTTACAAAAATTGGAAAACTGCCAGTTTTATTATTCTACAAGTATTAGTCACAATTTTGCATTGATTTAGTGGGGGTTTGCTTTGTTAATATTGGTTATGAAAGGAATTATGAGAAGAGGCTTCAAAGAATTTTCTCTAAGTTTAAAATGTACATTATCGTATTAAAAAGTGTTGACATATTATTTTTATAAATAAGGAAATACTTGTTAAAGAAAGCCAGAAGTATATCTTTTAAACAGTATGGCGAAAGCACCCAAATTGTAGACCATTTCTAATGATCTTTGTTTATTTGTTTTGTTCCATCGTCGCAAACGCTAGCAAACAGATAAACAAAGACAACAGTGAACGTCACAAACAACTACAGTTCTACAGTACACGACAAAAGGTTTACACGCTACAGGAAACACGAAGACATGAATACAGTACGCGGCGAAAGTCCTTACCTAACTTTGCTTTACTTCGCGGTGTAATGACCGGGATGTTGAAGGAGATAGGAAGTCCTGAAATTCAAATCTTTGTCAAATTTCATCACCACATGCATGTTTTAGATGCCAGTCCAGTGCAAAAAGCATAAAGTAGTGAACATACGAAATTACAGCAGGGGCGGATCCACGAATCTGGAGCAGTTTGGGGTCAAGGTAAGGGCCAATAGCCACACCAAAACAATTGGTTAATGAAATCTTATATTTTGGACACAAAAGGGGGCGGGTCCCTTGGGTCCACTCTAGATCCGCCACTGCATAGTCACACAGAAATAAGCATTTATACAACAGCCTGGAGAAGGTCTCTCAATATTTTAAAATGATAAATCCATCATTTTTTTCATATATAGGACACAGGGAAAATTTATTAACGCAAAATTAAATATTTTAAAGCTGTGTAAATTCTAAATGCTGTTTTCTCAGAATGCCTGTATTTCGCATTTGTTTAGTTAGTTCTCTTTGAATAGGATCACAAAGAAAGATAACCATTACTCTGAAATTTGAACATTAATACAATGTATCTCAAATCTGAAGAATCATTAAAAATGACAAATTTACATGTAATTGTGAAATAATTCAAAATACTGGTTATTTTTCTTTGTATAATCATTAAGCAAAAAGTATCAATTAATAGATTCAGTTATGTAGACATTCATTGATTCAGCAAACTTCTTCCATGTCTTATTTCATTCCATGTTAAAAGTGCGTGACCTTATTAGTTTTAAAGTTAATCAAAATTAAAGCGATGTCAGTAGAAATATTGAGTTAGGAAACGTTATCAAGTTGGTATTGCAAAAAACTCCTACATGGATGTATGGCACTTGTAATCAAATAAAATTAGAGGAAAGAGATCTCTCACAATCAAAATTGCAATACATTCATAAGCGGCAAGCGAAATATGATTTTTTTTTCTTTGAATTTTGATCCCGATCAAATCCATTTGAACCTCGATTTGGATATTATATATATACTTACAGTACACTTACTCAGAGTAGAACAACTCTAACGTTAGTTGTATTTAAGCAACTACTTAATAAAGCATACAATGAAATCAATTCCTCATGAATATTAAACACTATTTTATTTTGATATGTTCTCTCTCCAATTAGGGGTACCCTTGAATATAGCAGCATTCTAAATTAATTCTGTGTAAGTGCAGGCATACACCCATGTAGATCGTATTAAACAGTTTATACGTATACGTTGATATGTTAGTTAAATAAGGGGCAACTGACATTTTGAATCTCTGTTTACATTATAATAATTTGCAAAAATTTACAGCTACGGTAAGCAATTATCAATCAAGTTTTTCTTAACATCTACTGAAAATATCGATAAGGAACAAAACGTAAAAGGGACTTTAAGAATAAATTAAATGCCAAAATATGTTTTTTGACGTTCAAAGCCCTATAAATTGCATTCTAGTCTTTAGACAGATTTCAGTGTTATGACGTGTATGAAATGAAAGTAAACTTACCGATACCAGCGCCACCTAGGTTGGCCTGCCACTTAATGTTAGGTAACTTTGATTGTGTCTGACCTAAAGCTGAAAAAAAGAATAGGGGGATAAATTATATACTGGTAGATCACTTCTGTTTAATTTCTTGCTTTGTTTAATATTCTTACTACCATTAATTCTGCCATGCTACATTTCTACCATCAAACGTGTCTGGTTCTTTTTTATGCTTAATTCTATTGGATTTACAGGGATACTGGGCAATGTAGACATGTTTTTAACTTTTTCTGATGTTATCATGGTTACTTTCAAGGTGGAATCCATAATGGGACAATATATTTTGATACAAAGGCCAATTGCAATAGATAAAGGAGTTATATTGTTCTTTGTAACTTAATTAACATTTTAAAAGAAATTTTGAAAAATTTTTATTTTAGGTTGAGAAGTGATAAAGAATTGATTTCATTGATATGTGTTTGGATTTTAACATTAAACATCTACGGTTATTGACGACTGAGAAAATATTGTTACAGATGCATTTGATTCTCGGAACATATGTATAATTCTTAAAATTAACTTTTTAATGTTTGGCATGTAACTCACTGTACTCATTAGAATTAAAAAAAAAAGAGAGAGAGAGACTAATATAAATTTTGGGCACATATCTGCATGAGATGTAAAAAATTCTATTTTTTTTAAAATCAAGATTTAAACTTAATTTATTAAGAAGACAATCGATACTTGCTAGAATCAAAATATCAAATAGAAAATCGAAGATAGATAGCCAAAAAATAATGTATCTTTTTATGGATAAAACAAGAGAAGTTCGGTAAATATGGCTAACACGTCGGGAGTATACAGCCTTAAGACTATTTTTTTGAGATATCGTACGAGACACTGTCGCACGTGAGGAAAAACAGTGTTTATTTACGACCTCTTGTATACCTGTACACCTGGTAAACAGCCCTAATTATCATTTATTAATTACTATATCGACATCACAAACCGTCATAGAGACATCTTCGTACATGTTCTCAGTGGTTTGTTAACATAAAACACACATATTCAGAAATAGAACAAGGTCTACACCATGCATGTATCGGAGACTTTTAGCTTACACTGCAGCTAATCGTAATGTTATATGATGAAGTTAGACCTACTGTGGGAATATTATCCCTTGGATGAGGGACATGAATTTTATTATATTTTGAAATATTTTGCAAAAATTGTTTAAATATACGGGAAAATATCAACATTTCAGAATATTAAATTTTCGAGACTTGAAAGGAAATGTGTAGCTTCGGAAAAGACATACGACTTTAAATTATCTATTTTTGTGTTCTTGTTAGATATAAAAGGGATTTAAGATATTTTATATATCGATCAATCTTTTCTGACATTTCACATATTTATTTACGTACGCAAATGACACGTTTGGTAAACAATCTGTTATTTTCTGTGTTTTTGGTGGATAAGCATGACTGGCTGAGAAAAGACCATCAGACCGCAGTTACTGACCACAAAGTGCAATCGACGACTCCATCACTCCAAAAACAGACTACACGTGTGTACCATTTTATCAGCGGTCGTCCATGTGGCGCAGTGGTTAGAGTGTTAGTACTAGAGTCGTGGAGTAAGGAACTGGCCCCAAGACCATAAACTGAGGACGGACTTCAGTCCAAATTTCAAATCAATATAACTTTTGATATAATTTTGAAAATAAAGCAAAATTTTAACCATATGTTTAAATAAGAATATTACACATTTGTGAAACATATATGTGTATATCTTTGATAACATATATGTGTTATAAATGGCAAGCTATTTAAAATCCAAATCTTAAGGTAATTCTGTTGTCAGTTTATTGTCTGCGGGCCTTGGTTCGAATCCCGCTGAGGGACGTTGGGACCGGTCCTTCGGATAAGATCGAACTGTATAAGCCGAGATCCGGTGCCAAAGTAGATTCTGTCATGAAAAAAATCCATCACAGCTCAATTACCATCAGCGCCCAGTATAGATCTAAAACTTACAACCCTCCACCAGCAAGAGTTGTAGTCTCAATTTAAAAAAATCAAAAGGAACTTGAGCAAGTTTTTAAGAATGATTTCATTCACTGTGAGTTCAACTGAACAATAAGGGATGTTTATCCCTAAAAGGCATCTGATCCCATCTACGGAATTATCCAGTTTTATGCCCTGTTGACGGATTTGTATATTGTTTGGGGTAGATGGTATATTCCGTGGTCAAGTTGAGATTAAAAGAATCAAAATTTGTAATCGGTGTGAAAAACATCAGCCAAAAAACGGCTCAGTGAATGGTTATATATTATAAGTGTTTGCAAACAAGTTCCGAATTTTCAACCCTAGAATTAGCTTTGTTATAATATGTCAGAATTGCTCATGCGAGAATTGTAGCATGTTTCAATGATTAAAACCCCCACCCCCACCCCCCCAAAAAAATAAATAAATAGATTTTAAAAAATGTGATTTGGGTTTTGTAAGGCCACATGATTTATTTTGCTGATTTAAAAAGTAAATTGTGTGTTAAATGAATACCAAAGTGGATATACTTTGATACCAGTTTAATCACAATGTCTGACTGTGTTCGTGCGATGGAAGAATTGAGAACATAAACTTTCTTCAACACATGAAATGACAGATGCTATTTCTGTGACATTGACTAAGGAAAAGCTCATATACAGCAATTCTAGCGACCATTTCATGTGCGGACTATTAAGGCATATGCCATTATTCTTTTATTCTGTACCATAAAAATTGGATGTTTTGTATCTTTTCTCATGCATCAATAAGACAGTTAATTTGTTATATTTGACTAGAGGGACTTGTGGTACTTGTTTCAGTTAATTTGTTATATTTGACTAGAGGGACTTGTGGTACTACTTGTTTTATGTACTTGTATAGTAGTCCAAATAAGTAAGAGATGATATTTTATTCGTGTTCGTCATGCATTATAACAAGAGACGGTAATACAAGTAGTCGGGCCAGAAAGTCATTAAACTTGAAGTTAACATGGGAGAATTTGAACCATGGAAGAAATATCAAACTTTATCAAAATTAGAGGAAATCGATCCTCCGAAGTAAACAAATCGTTTGGGAACTCGTCCTTACATCAATAATAGATAGTGACGTCATTTTAGTACATCTTTTTTATCGTTTTTATAAGGGCGGAGACAAGATTCCCATCGCTGAATAAAGCGATATACTTCTGACGCTGTAAAGCTCATCACCTAGATCTCATAAAAATCTCGCGATACGTCACATTTTACGAGAAGTCGTAAAAACGCTTGACAAGGCGCAAAAGCATGTATATTTGAAGGAAATAAATCTTCTTTTTAAAACATCTTAGACTAAAAATTGCTTATGTTTTCATCCATTACTTTCTTATGTGATTGATTGCTTGCATGTTAAATAGATGTTTTGTAATTTACGTGGTTAATTATTCCGTTACAACACATTCTTGATATTATTGTTTTGAAGGATTTTTTATGATGTAGATTCACCTTTTCACATTTATGAAATGTAGAAAATGGGCGAAAGCCAGAAACATATATTCTCTTTTTTGTTTCCCAAGCTTTTTAAAATATATTCTTCTTAAGTTTCAGCTTATCATTCAAATATTTTGTATAATTAAAGCATCAGCGACACGGTATTTCATAAAGTATTTTCTTTAACAAAACGCCAATCATCTTGTCCATTAAAAAAAAATAATCTTAAGGACAATAACAACAATAAATGTTTCTTTCTATAATAAATTTGGAAAGGTGGAAATTTATTACATGAGTCATAAATGTTCTTAAACAGTTAAACGTCAAATATATGTGATCTTCTGTCTAGTGGTGGACTGATCGCACGGAGTGACAGAACGTACACTTAAGCCCCATAAAGTAGAAGCTGACAGCTTAAATTGACACTCAAACCCGCAAAAGATTTCTATGATGTGCATATCCCATGCTTATGATTTACACCTTGACAAATAGCTTATTATAAAAAGTGCCGCGGGGGATATATTTACAGTAACAGGTCTATTGTGACGTAAGGGTACTGTGTTTAAGCGATAACTCTCGTGTATGAATTGTTAAAAAATTGCGCCATTAATGTAAAATTCTATAAAGCTTTGTTCTTTAGCTACAGGTCATTGAAAACAAAAATTGTTTTTGCATATGTAGAAAATTTTCTTTTCAAAGTGTTAAGACTAAATTATGGCAAATTTTAAACTTCTACAATTGCAAGATTTCTGTATGGATACCTTATTACAATTTTGCAGATTTTTAAATTAATCCTGATTCTAATAAAATGATTCCTTTCTGAATAAAAATTTTATGTATGTTTAAAATTGCAATTTATCATTAGAAATACGAAGAATTATAATTGTTGTCAGAAGAGTTTTAATGTACATTCATTTAAACTAGTGCTTAATATCATCAATATCATTTGTTCACTTGACTTTGGTAGTAAAAAAAAAAGACACTTACCTAAATGGAAACAGCACACTGAAAAATAAATTGAAAAAAAACTTTAAAGTATATTTTTTTGCAGTTAAAGGGAAAGTAAACCTTTAAAAAAGAATCAATCTTAGAAAGAAGGACTGTTTAGAAATAGCTATAAAAGTTTGGAAAAATATAGAAAATAGAAATTTTCCTTACCTGCTGCAGCAAATAATAATAGGTTCCTCATATTCGGTATGAAATAATATTGCACAATTTGTAAACAAATAATAAAAAAAAAAATACAGAAAGCGAAAAGTATTAATCCAAAATACGGCTAAAAGCCGTGAATCTGTCGAAAAGTCGCCTGCACTGAACAACTACGTCAGGACTGAACCGGCTCTGATAATATTGTGTCCGAAATAAGCGGCGCCTAAGATGTGGTGTAAGCCAGGGATGCCCGCTGTCTCTTAACTTGTTCGCGTTAAGTAAAAATTATAAATATTAAACCACAGTTTCCACTTTTCATGTTCCTATTGTCATGTTTGTTGCTTAAAAGTTCTTCAATAAAAAAAACAAACTTTTAAATGATAACAGCTTCCACAAATCCCTGGCGATCCTGAATACTACTTGATAAGTTCAAAATGTTAGTAGAAATACATTCTTCTTGGCACAAAAAAAATAAGATGACGTATTCCACAAACAACAAACGTTAAAGGATTGGAAAAGAGATCTTTTGTGTTGCTGATTTTACGTATTATATAAAATGGTATCTATTGCTTTTGTAAAAGGGGAACACGAAAGGAAAATGATGAACTTACATAAATGTTTTATTTAATACGTGTTAAATGTATTTGACGAATGTGTTTTTTTATATAATTAGTTCATAATTAGCGTTGGTTTTTATATAGAAATATTGCTAAAAATATGCATAGAATTTTTTTCGTGCCAAGTTTTCAAAGAAATTAAAATTTTATATTACTGTGCGATGCTCAAATTAGATTTTAAAATATCGGTATATACATGTAGAACCACTATTTTTCATCAAAATACCTTTTTAAATACTGTTTACAAAAAAAGGAAATATTAATAGATAAGAATAGAATAGTTATTCTCCGAACCTTAATTTTTTATACACATGTTTTCTTTTGTCCCTCTTGGGTACCTCTTAGGATATGCAGATTAGGCATGCTTGTGTCATAAGATGTCCTGGAACTATCCTTTTCTGTGAACATAAACGTCAATTAGCAGGGGACGAAAGTGACCGTTTCATTTAGTAACCCCACGACTTGATCTAAATTTAGAGGAAGATCGCTATCGTCTGCTTTGATCGCGTTACACGGACACTTCGGACAACATGATTTTCATTTCTTTTAATTGGCGTTTAATTATAAAGTACTCCTAAGTCAAGGTCCACTATTAGGATTGGTATTTTTTCTGTAACTCAGAGAATGTAAATTCTCTGAATAGTGAAAATCAAATGATGATTACGCTGTAGCCATTTTTTTTTTTGTCTCTCTTCCTATGAATCCATGTCGAAAATGCATAAGAGGTTTTCATTTAAAAAGTGTGCATCCCAGGAATGTAGCATCGTTTTTGAAAGTTGAGTAGGCAGCCAGAGAAAATGTTCAGCCTAGCTGAAAAAAGTGACAAGCAAAAAAAAATGTCGAAACACGAAAATTCTATTTTGTGGAAGTGGTGCACGAGGGGATGGGGGGTGGGGGAGGGGGGTGGGGGGGTCGTCGTCTACTTAGTTCACTGCATTATATGGTATATGGTGACGATTGACCTTTATAAAATATAAAATTAAAAAATTATATGTTCATGTTGATTATACGTACTAAGTGCATTAATTACAAGTTACAAGTAAAATCTCTCTCTCTCTCTCTCTCTCTCTCTCTCTGTCTCTCTCTCTGGAGACTGAAGCGTCATGTTGATTATTTTTAAATATGACAGCCGAAGAGCTCATTTTTTGGGGAATGACTCTAATTCTTGTCTGAATTTTCGAGGATAACCTGGTTTGGGTCAGTTCAGTGCACTTATCCGCCAAACTGATCCGCCCCAAGTTATTCTCAAATAATTTGGCCAAGAATTAGAGTCATTCTTATAAATTGATTTAAAAAATATTTAACTACTGTGGGTGTAAAATCGTTGCTTTTGATTAGTTTGAATTTGCCACTCAAAAATATAACTGTAGTAACGGAAGTGATTGGAAGTTAGTTTGAATTTGCCGCTCAAAAATACAACCGTAGTAACGGAAGTGATTGGAAGTTAGTGGAGGAAAATGTAACTGTTCACTGTTACTTAGGACTAGCAGCCATGTTGTTTGTTTACATTTGGTATAATATCGAGTTACTGAATGAATTTAAAGATACATTCATTAAATCTAGAATTTTCCATGAATCCCGAGGACTGGAAATGAGAGGATTGCATGGATACAGATGATTCAGCTGGTAACCAAGGGGGTGTGCCCCAATACCAAACCAGATTATACAATTTGTGTAACAGTTCCATTTAGGATATTAACCAATCAGAGACTAGAATACAAAGAAATTATATATATTATTTATTGTTATTAATTATTTTGGCTGAGACGTTTTGTTTTTTATTTTTTATTTTCAAATTTACCGCAATAATATATATTTCTTTTTGTAATGTTTGTACCGGACATAAGCCATCGTGCATTGAAACCATATATACACGTACATACACGTACATATATCTCCTCCACTTTTGCATGCTTCCCTCAGATATTGTGCTGTCTTCTATTTCGTTTCTGTCATGTAACAGGACCTATCGTCCTAAAGTTGTCAATGTTATTTGCCTTGTTTATTTTCTCATAAATTGCCTACGATGTTTTTTTTCCTTTGGAAAACTGAAAATAAAATGGTTCTGTGTTTTTACATCTCATCAGGCAGTATTTCGATTTCAATCTGAGAAAAATAAGGGTTCGTCTTTCGAATTATCTGCTTTGTGTTTTCTCGTCGAACCAGACAATGTCAATGAATCAAGTTTTAAGGAGAAAATTGGCGCACTTTACATCGTTCAAGAATTCTGAATGATCAAATTTCACTCTATTTAAATTTGATATTTTCAGTATATCTTCGAAATAAGATGATTACTTTAAAAATAAATATTATTTATATTTATAAATTTAAAACAAAATCATTTTAAAAAATTTTTTACTCTTTAATATTTTCAAAACGATAACATAACGTGTAGCATTTTATAGCAAAAATGACAACCCCGATTTCTGACAATGGTTTAAAACTTTGCGTATTTCTATGTCATGGATTTAAGACGTCTAAGTTTAGGATAATCATAAGATAGCTTTGAAAAACAACTGAATATAATCTTACGATCATCTCAAACTTTTCCTAAGATAAGTCTTAGGAAGTTTCTTATGCATAATTTAGGAAAGTTTCGTAAACATGCCTTGTGGCAACGCACTTTGAAAAAATTACATGTACGCACTTTTAAAAATTTAGAAAAAGTGCGTTAAAATTGGGGCAAAATCAACGCACTTTGAAAAAAAATTCAAAGTGCGTTAAATTTGGGACACACTCAACGCACTTTGAATTTTTTTTTCAAAGTGCTTTAAGAGTGAACATCAACATTTTTTGCCATGAGGACATTTAAGGCACTTTGAAAAAAAAATATGTATAAAACAAAAATTCTAGATTTAAATTTTAATGATTACGAGAATCAATTTGTAATAATTATTTTTTTTTACGAAAAACTTTCATGTATTGATTTACCCTCATTGAGAAAAAGGAGAAGACAAGTTGAAGGTCTCTCAGTCCAACTCTCTAATACATTGTAGATTTATAGCCGTCGGTAACAAATTGAAAGTGGACCCCCTCCCCCTAAAGATTTATGGTAATAGACCCAATTTTCAATCCTATATTATGTATACCTTTGCAAAATATTTGTGTGCGTAAGCCAACCCCCCCGTACCGATGCCTATGCTACATCCAAACATACTCGTATGTATTTGCATAACTGCTATGACATTGAAAACTTTCAATAAATTTTAGCTGACATAAATGCATGCAAACTGTAAAAATTTAAGTACAGCAAAACATTTCAGAGAGAAAGAATTTACAAGGTATAGTAAAAGCAAAATCGCTCACACATATCCTGAAGTGACATTATCACCGAAAAGTTATTCAACAGATTCAATTATTTATCATACCTAAGATTTGCAAGAATATTGACCAAGCCATACAATTTTTTTCAAAGTGTGATAACATGGTCAATATAAACGCACTTTGAAAAAAAGAGAAGATGGGGAATAAGGCGGGCAGAAAATTTTTAATCTCAATTATATCCAAATTTTATTTAATATTTCATCTATTATTAAAGTATACTTAATGTAAAATCTCTATAATTTACAATAATCTCACAAAGACTGAAAATATATACCAACGAAAAAGCATACACAGACTTAAAAGAACAAAACGATCATTTTTTCATACTTTAACAAACTTTTTTAGTATGAGTGGGTCTTCGCTCCATTTTTTGAAAGATAATCCTAAAAGTTTGCGATAAAATAAATATTGTTTGGTTTACAAAAAAATGGAGCGTCGACCCACTATACCTTAAAAGTACACTTTTATGACAAAACATTCGCATCTTTCCGAGAAATACTTGAAGTCCATTAAGTCAAGGGTTATTTTACAAACACGATTTAAATGCCACAAATCATCATGAGTTATACAGTAGCATAGTGGTTAGCGCGTTTATCTGTGTGTAGATTAAGTATTTACAAAAGAAGACAAATGTTCATTAACAATCACCAAAAGTTGGATGTAACAAAATTTTGCAAATACACATTGAGACAGTTTGTTTCATATAATTATTATCAATTGTGTGTCAAAGAAAACAGACGTGATATATTCTCTAAATTATTTTTATACAAGAACCCTCTAGTAAAAGAAACAGAGGGGGTGTTATTATTTATTTTATAATATTTTTGTTTTTGTTTTTCTAGTATCTTTATCATGAATGTTTTTAAACAAATGAAATGTACATAATGATGATTATCAATAAAAGATTAAAAAAAAAATGTCTCTCGATTCTCATGTAAGAGGACCAGGGTTCGCATCTTGAACTATGCAAGTTTTTTTTTTGGGAAATGCTTTTTTTTTTACTAGATGATAGTATTCAGCATGTGAAATGAAATATTTATGAGGTCTGGCTTGTACAAACTCATAAAATCATCATTACAGTGTGATGAATATTCCATAT